TTTTGTTGACCTTTGTCCATGGAAGGTCCCTGCAAAATTTCATTGAAATTGGTTCAGGGGTTTTGGAGAAGAAGTCGAAAATGTAAATTGTTTACGGACGCACGACGGACGACGGACGACGGACGACGACGGACAAAAGGCGATCGTAATAGGTCATTTGAGACTTTGTCTCAGGTGACCTAAAAAGACAAGTATCCATCTAGCGATTTTTTTTAACCTGAGACCAATCAAATAGCTAGCTGTGTGCCTTCAATTTACCATGATATGTTCCAGGGGTGCTGAGAGCGAAAGTGAGCTGACTGCTGGAGTACGAGGATGACCTATGACCTTTCTATCAGTACAAGGATGACCTATGACCTTTCTATCAGTACAAGGATGACCTTTGACCTTTCTATCAGTTTAAATGATGCACTACCAATGGTTACAGACATGCTGTAACAATTCACAACTATAAGGAACAATGATTACAGTAGAACACGAACAGGTCAGCAAAGGCCCTGCCATGTGCCGTATCACCCCCATTGACAAGTCAAGTTTCAAATAATCTCTGAAAACGAAAATGTGGATGGATGGGCGGATACAGACAAACACAGTGATTACTATAGGCATCTCTGGTGCAACAGTTTGAAAGTGCATAGGTTCTAATAACCCTAACATGGCAAGCCAAAAAACAGTATTTGATTGGTTGATAATTTACCTGTATTCGGTAGAAGGACTTTGTTGATGACATGGACGACCCCGTTCGAGGCGACGATGTCCTCCTCTACAAGTTTGGCATCGTTGACGTAGTTACCATTGAACTTACAAATGAAGGCCAGAAATCCTCCCTCCATGGAAATCAACTGGGCAGACACCACTGTCGAGGCAGCACAGTAGGTGTCCTTTACAATGTGGTATTTAGCAATGGCTGAAAAACACAAATATAAACTCTAAGACAGTATCCTTCACAAGGTGGTACTGTATAACATGAAATGGTGTGTTATTGAACCACAGAAAAAATACAAGGAATTTGGATGATCTACTGTTTGTAAATATAGGTTATCCACGAAAGTCAGTACCCCGAAACCATCTAAATTGCTTCAAACCGCGCATGAAGGTCCCCATGAACATTTTGTTTGATACAGTACTTTGAAACACAACTAGAGCAACAGGAGAACAAACATAGCGTACACACTCAAATATTAGAAAAAAACTGAAGTTCAAAACAGGCAAAATAAATGTTTTAAGAAATAGATTTGTTTAATGTTTTGCCTGGAATGCATAAATCTTTCACTCCTAGGAAACTTCCAAGCCCAACGTAGTTCTGCATTAAATCTTTGAAATAACAACATATAAGCTGACACCATCACTGGCTGCATAAACATCCCTAGTCTTCAAAAAGCCAAGATAAAGTATAAACTCTAATTCGAGGTTCTTTTAAACTGCTTTATCACAATCTAGTTCATAGATCGTCTCTAAGCTGTTCACAAATAATTATCCATGGTTATAGGGCCTTTGCAACCAGCCAATATCTTTCTCAGCATACAGCCGTTGCTGCCATTTCGGCACTCACAGCTAACAATTCAATAATTCTAGCACTTCCCAACCACCTACTCATTTACAGCTGAGAAGACTGGAACAAGCAGAGTCAAGTATTTTCTTCAAAGATACAACACAGTGCCGTGCCGTGCCTCGAACCCGCAACCCTTCGGTCATGAGCCCGGCGTCCTACCACTAGACTACCGTGCATCCATAAACTCTACCAAGACAGATTCCTTCTAAATTCCTTCACAACTTGGGACTTAGCAGTAGCTGCAATATATCCAATTTGGATCTGTAGAGATGCAAGGTCACAGATAAGGAAATCTTATAGAGGCACAAAAAAACATACAATGTGATCAGTTAACAGGTTCAAAGAAACAAATGTGATAAAACCCACCTTCTGCCACTTTCCTGTCATTCTTGATCTTTAAGTTGAGTCCGGAGGACAGACGTCGGAAGGCTTTGTCCTCGGGGATAAACAGTGTGAAGTGTTTGACATTTTGCAGCGTGTCCATAAGGTTCGCTTTGTACAGCATCTGGGAAAACCGGGTCAGACGCGGATCCCGCAAGATGACATCAGCGATGCTTCCTTTGAAGTCCAGCGGCCGAATCAACTGTTCGAAAACAAAAGACAACTAGATGAATGTTTACTTACTTGAATGATGGTAATTATTCAAACATGATTATTATGCTGTCAACTTTCCCCTTTGGGTGAACCCTCTAATTACAAACCTACCCTGTCGATCACGTGAACGATTCCATTACTGGCCATCTGATTGGGCACCATGATCCGAGCGCAATTAACCGTAGAAACCTGTAACAAAACAATATATTTTGATCAGAGAGTTGTAGTTCTGAAGACAAAATCAGACAATGTGATGTATCATTACAGTGCTTTTTGAAGCGAAGAATAGAATAAATTAAATAGGCTTACCTCAAACAACATCATTATAACAAAATCGGACAAAACTAAAATCATAGTTTAAAATCATAGTTGCTTTATAAGTATATTTGGGTAAAATCCATTTTTGCCCAATATTAAATTGGCCTTTCACATTAAATTAATCTGTATAATATAATTATGTTTGTTTACAAATGATCACTGTAATGATAAATTCGCTCTCTGACATTACGGAAGGTGAAAAGGCGAGCATTAAACTGCAGTTACCATTTCCCAGTATACAGTATTTACCACGAAGTCAGGTATCTTTTTAGTTTCTAAGAAACATGTGGTATACAGATAAGTCCTGACATTAATTCCGTAACCTACCCCACTAGGATACTTGTTTATGCGGAGTTTCTTCTCTGCGTAATACAGCGTCGGTATCTCCTCCTGTTTCTTGAAGGTGGTGTAGTTATAGCGACCAGTGACGACGTGATAATGGAGGAGGGACGGTGCGTGATACGTCCAGGGGTGGAGCCTCTGTCTGGTGAATAAATCAACAGCATGTCTCGTAACCGTATAACACCGAAACGTAACAACACACTATAAGTTACAGTCAAACCTGTGTTAAGAGACCACCCTCTGGAAGTCCATAAAGTGATCTCTTATCACAGGTGGTCTCTTCATACAGGTTTAACTCATTCACCCCTGAGATTTCATGATGAACTAGTCCATCCTTTGAGTTGAAAGAGTTCAAATGTGTCTTCAGGGGTGAATGAGTTAATTAACATGAAAACAACAGTAGGTTGTCTCTTGTCATTGGTGGTTCCATAATAGAGGTGGTCCCTCAAGCAGGTTAAGATTGCACAGTACACCATTGATCTTCTGTCTATATCAATTTTTGTGTTTTGTATACCTATTAATTATGAAATGGTCTCTTGCAAGTTTTTATCTAATTATTAGTACTTTGCTTCTGAAATCTTAACAACTTTTAAAAATAATCTTCTGGTAAAAACTTATAAGACAAATAGTACTTCATGCTATGAAACGAAATATTTTGTTGGTAAAATTAGGAAATAAAAATATTGACAAACGGTGAAGACACCAATTATCTTGGGTGAGGAAATTAAACAATGGAGATACCTATCATCGTAGGTGAGGTTTTTAAACGCCGTGTCTACTGGGACAAATACGGTAAAGGCTCCTTGGTAGAGAAGGTTTCCCTCCAGCTCAGTATTGGTCAGCAAATCAGGGAATTTCTGCTGGAGTAGCTGAAGGGTTGTCTTCTTCAAGTTCTTTAGGGGCAACACTGGAAACAGCAGCATACTCAGTTATATTACATATTCAATGTCAAGTCAGTTACCGTATAATAAATGAAATATATTAAGGAACTCCTTTTATCAATAACATTCCATTCCGTTCCAATTCACTCCTCCCCCCACCATCTTGGTGCTTACTGGGTGCACAATTTATGCAAGGATCAATGAACCTATCCTCACGAGTCCCTGTACTATATTAACAGAGGCGTGTATGTTACCACATCCCACCGACTGTGAACTCACGACTCAATGTCCAAGCACTCACTTTGACACTTTACATTTTTTTTTTTTTTAATATAAAGTAGAATTGATTTTATTGAGCGATAGTCAGCCATCCAAAGAGGTACTCATACAAAAATTTGGCAGTTGTAGGCGACAGGGTTTATGTGCTATGCCCCGGACAAAGTGACGTACTGTTTTGACTGACAGATACACAGGTTTAGGAGAATAGCCAAGCCCAACCGCTGTAATTCAGTAGAGCTAGCAGAGACCACTTCGTTTTTGAACAGTTTGTGCTCTGTGGCTCCTTAGGGCCCACTCCTCAGCCCCTAAGGGTCAGCTACATCTTAAATATAGATTCTAATTCCCTCCACTGATTCTGGTTTCTGAGCAGTTGAAAATATCTTTTACAGACGTTCGCACACAAAATGTAATTGCATTAGGTCACAAAATATCTTAATTTGCTAGATTTTGTTTTCACAATTAAATCACTACTCCTACCAGGTATTGTTCATTCTATACATAATATCATTACTGATCATGACTATTTTACAGTCAGTACTTTGTGCCGACTGATGAATTTCCACAGTTCAATATCATCAGACCTCGTTATTCTTAAACACCAAAACTCATGAACTTTCCATTGACAATCAACCCAATTGTCCAACAGAAAAGATTTTATCGTATCTGATTTTTAATTTCAATTTTTACAGAACCCTTTTGATAACAATGTGTGTTAAACAGTTAATGCATAATCGTGTTAGCTGTTTAGCTACTTATATTACCCAACACTTCTACAAAGAATCCATTTAATTATTTTTTCGCATGTGATATGAAATACACTGAATAAATTATATCAAGTTAAACACCTTAGAAGGGATGCAGATGTGTATAGATGAGACTTTTCACATTTTCACAAAATTAAATTAAACCAAGGCTCTTTGATCTTTAGACTTTTAATTTTAATTCATAAATCCTCAAATTGAAATATTGTAAATGTCATTTTTATGCACCACTTAACATAAAGCTGACATAATTTGCTCAGATTGCGTGATCACATTTTTGTGATGCTTACCAGATAGGTCAAAATCTTAAGTGCTACAAGAAAATTAATGGTGCACACAATATAGGGTAAATTTAATGGGTTTTCCATTCAATTTTTAAATAAATATTGCCGATGTTCATCTTCAAAGATAGTGTCTCTTGATGTCACAGGAAATGGATACAAAACGACCGATTTCACCCCAATTTTCTACCAATTTTAACAATAAAGATTGTAACATTAGATCAAAATGACATCCTTTCAATCAAAAATTGTCCCCATCTTTTTTGATACTTATCTAGATTTATACCTCACCAGTTAAATCTGTGCAAACTGTGTTTAAGAACTGCCAGAGAAATTAAATTTTTTTTTTATACTAAGAAATAAATCAAATTGGACGTCCATGGAGAAAGGATAAAGTAGGGACAACCCCGAGTAGACAAAAATTTATCTTTTTTTTTTTAATTCTCTACCATCTTGAAACATCCCTTCCAGTACTTTTCGTCCTTGTCGAACTTTTGCAATCAGCAATTAATTGATACTATACTGAACTAAAGAGTTGAAACTTACCAGCTGGACATCCTTTTTCTCCCTTTACCCTATTGTAACCTGGGCAACACTGGTATCGGATAAACCTGTAACACATAGATAACCAACGGTAACCAAGGAAACAGTGGTACCAGTTTAACCTGTAACACATAGATAACCATTGGTAACCAAGGAAACAGTGGTACCAGATTAACCTGTAACACATAGATAACCATTGGTAACCAAGGAAACAGTGGTACCAGATTAACCTGTAACACATAGATAACCAACGGTAACCAAGGAAACAGTGGTACCAGTTTAACCTGTAACACATAGATACCCATTGGTAACCAAGGAAACAGTGGTACCACTGTATCATACACATATGTAACTCTAAGAGACAGTGATAACCAAGGAAACAGTGGTACCCCTGTACCAGACACATATGTAACACTAAGAGACAGGGGTAACCAAGGAAACAGTGGTACCACTGTACCAGACACATATTTAACACTAAGAGACAGTGGTAACCAAGGAAACAGTGGTACCACTGTATCATACACATATGTAACTCTAAGAGACAGTGATAACCAAGGAAACAGTGGTACCACTGTACCAGACACATATGTAACACTAAGAGACAGTGGTAACCATTGAAACAATGGTATAGGACAAACATGTCACACAAATAGTGGTAACCAAGAAAACAGAGGTACCAGACAAACCGTGACACAGACAGTAATAACCAAGAAATTAGTGGTACCAGACAAATCTGTAATACTAAACAACAGTGGTAACCAAGGAAACAGTGGTACCAGACAATCTGTAATACTAACCAACAGTGGTAACCAAGAAAACAGTGGTACCAGACAAACCTTGACACAGACAGTAATAACCAAGAAATTAGTGGTACCAGACAAATCTGTAATACTAACAAAAAGTGGTAACCAAGGAAACAGTGGTACCAGACAATCTGTAATACTAACAAACAGTGGTAACCATGGAAACAGTGGTACTGGGCAAGCATTAAGTTCACAAATACATGGTGGTAGCCATGGAAAGAGTGGTACCAGACAAACCTTGACACAAACAGTGATAACCAAGGAAATAGTGGTACCAGACAAATCTGTAATACTAACAAACAGTGGTAACCATGGAAACATTGGTACCAGACAATCTCTAATACTAACAAAAAGTGGTAACCATGGAAACAGTGGTATAGGACACACTTGTCACGCAAATAGTGGTTACCATGAAAACAGTGGTACTTGGCAAACCTGTAATGATAACAAACAGTGGTAACCATGGACACTGGTATCAGACAAATCTGTAATAATACAAACAGTGGTAGCCATGGAAACAGTGGTATAGGACACACTTGTCACGCAAATAGTGTTTACCATGAAAACAGTGGTACTTGGCAAACCTGAAATACACAAATACACCAGACAGTGCATGGGGTAACCACCGAAACAGTGGTAACAGACAAAATATCTCCTCAGACTTACAGTCACACTATACTGATACATGTCATGTTTTAATAAGACAATCCTACCTGTATAATACAGGTAGGATTGTCTTATTAAAACATGACAAGTAACAGTTATTTCATCAAAAATGTTGAAAGAAAAACTATGACAAGTTTCCCATAAATCAATTTAAATATCATTTGCCTATTTTAATCCACACTAACTCTAATGAAATACTATCCAGGTCAAGGTGCCTGGTCAATTAAATCTACACTAAAATCATTTGTCTGAAATAAAATGGATACCGTAAACAATCTTCTTTTTGGCAATGACTCTTTTGTACTTAATTGACAATCTCAGCATCTTGTAATGGCAGTTGAGCGCAATATTTCAATGTGTCAGTTTATCTTTATCATTTTGAATGCAGAAGAATCGGATACATGGGGATAAAATATCAGCCGTCCACCTACGATATAGTACAAAGCTGCTGGTGAACTGGTCGTGTCAAAGTGTTATGATGAATGTTGAGTGGTTAACACTGTGGCATGAACTGTAATCATATATGAAATCAAACGAAACCAAGAAAATTGGCCCTAAATAGTTGAGTGGTTGGATTGTCAAGGTCAAAACGCAAAATGAAGGTCACAGACACGTTTATTTGAGGATAAAGAAGCAGAAAGATTTGCAAACATAAGCTTTTATATCATTTTCATTACAATCTATGATATGGTGTTTTAAGGATCCCTGACCCACTGCACTGTGTTTTTTCCTATATACAATAATCTCCCCTTAACGATCCCTGACTCCCTGCACTGTGGTTTTTCCTATATACAATAATCTCCCCTTAACGATCCCTGTTCCACTGCACTGTGGTTTTTCCTATATACAGTAACCTCCCCTTAACGATCCCTGTCCAACTGCACTGTGGTTTTTCCTATATACAGTAACCTCCCCTTAACTATCCCTGTCACACTGCACTGTGGTTTTTCCTATATACAGTAACCTCCCCTTAACGATCCCTGTTCCACTGACTGGTTTTTCCTATATACAGTAGCCTCCCCTTAACGATCCCTGACCCACTGCACTGTGTTTTTTCCTTTATACAATAATCTCCCCTTTAATATCCCTGTCCCACTGCACTAGTTTTTTCCTATATACAGTAACCTTCCCTTAACGATCCCTGTCCCACTGCACTGTTTTTTTCCCTATATACAGTAATCTCCCCTTAACGATCCCTGTGCCACTGCACTGTTTTTTCCCCTATATACAGTAATCTCCCCTTAACGATCCCTGTCCCACTGCACTGTGGTTTTTCCTATATACAGTAACCTCCCCTTATCGATCCCTGTCCCACCGCACTGTTTTTTTCTCTATATACAGTAATCTCCCCTTAACGATCCCTGTCCCACTACACTGTGGTTTTTCCTATATACAATAATCTCCCCTTTACGATCCCTGTCCCACTGCACTGTTTTTTTCTCTATATACAGTAATCTCCCCTTAACGATCCCTGTGCCACTGTACTGTGGTTTTTCCTGTATACAGTAACCTCCCCTTAACGATCCCTGTGCCACTGCACTGTGGTTTTTCCTATATACAATAATCTCCCCTTAACGATCCCTGACCCACTGCACTGTGTTTTTTCCTATATACAGTAATCTCCCCTTAACGATCCCTGACCCACTGCACTGTGGTTTTTCCTGTATACAGTAACCTCCCCTTAACGATCCCTGTCCCACTGTACTGTGTTTTTTCCTATATACAGTAATCTCCCCTTAACGATCCCTGACCCACAGCACTGTGTTTTTTCCTATATACAATAATCTCCCCTTAACGATCCCTGACCCACTGCACTGTGGTTTTTCCTGTATACAGTAACCTCCCCTTAACGATCCCTGTGCCACTGCACTGTGGTTTTTCCTATATACAATAACCTCCCCTTAACGATCCCTGACTCCCTGCACTGTGGTTTTTCCTATATACAATAATCTCCCTTAACGATCCCTGTGCCACTGCACTTTTTTTCCCCCTATATACAGTAATCTCCCCTTAACGATCCCTGTGCCACTGTACTGTGGTTTTTCCTGTATACAGTAACCGCCCCTTAACGATCCCTGACTCCCTGCACTGTGGTTTTCCCTATATACAATAATCTCCCCTTAACGATCCCTGACCCACTGCACTGAGGTTTTTCCTGTATACAGTAACCGCCCCTTAACGATCCCTGACTCCCTGCACTGTGGTTTTTCCTCTATACAATAATCTCCCTTAACGATGCCTGTGCCAGTGCACTGTTTTTTCCCCTATATACAGTAATCTACCCTTAACGATCCCTGTGCCACTGTACTGTGGTTTTTCCTATATACAGTAATCTACCCTTAACGATCCCTGTCCCACTGCACTGTGTTTTTTCCTGTATACAGTAACCGCCCCTTAACGATCCCTGACCCACTGCACTGTGTTTTTTCCTATATACAGTAATCTCCCCTTACCGATCCCTGTCCCACTGCACTGTTTTTTCCCCTATATACAGTAATCTCCCCTTAATTTCCATTTGGATATTACTAGAAAAGTTTGGACAAAACACTTCCAATGACCAGGTAGCTCAATTGGTAAGAGGGATAATATAACAATCTGAAGTACGGGGCTGGAATCACGGTGTAGCCCAACTAAACTGATTATATTTTGGTTATTTCATTTTTATTATTTCTCATAAAAGTCCTGCAAGGTATGGGTTTTTTTTTATCAGAAATGATTTATCAAAACTATAGTCATGCCAAAAAACCCAGTTTCCAACATTTATTGTCAGTTTTTGGCAGAAATCTAACAGAATTATCTTTAACTCAGTATTTCAAATCTTTCCAGAAACAAAATGACTGCAAAACCTTCTCCAGAACTTACGCAAGTATTACTGAGTAAGGAGAGCGTGGAATTGCCGGCATACTCACACCTTTTATAGGTCTAACCCCTCACACCTGTGTCCATAAATAGACGAGAAAAGGATAAGCCCTCAGGATTAGGGTCAAGGGTGGGGTCAAACTGACAGATGGTTCCCCTACCCCAGGAGGAAATACGCCTAGATAGGCAACTGCTAAAAGTGTTGTGGGCTAAAAAAAAAATCTTTGAATCTTCAAATATGTCTAAAATGCTTAAATAATTTTAATTTTTAATAAATTTTGATTGTTTTAAATCCACACATTCTGGTGATTTGTTAAGAATTTTAAAGAAATTATAAACATAAATTTGAAAAAGAAATTTTACAATTTCATGTCCCTAAGCTAACTAGCCTTGACACTGCTAACAACATGTTTTGCTCCTATCACCTTGCACGGCAGATATCGTTATCTAATTAACAAGGGGTAATTAAAGTCAGGACTTATCAGCTTCCCGGGGTGAAGATAGTTCTGTTAACAGTGTTACACTTACACTAAGTTTTTACATTTCCTATCTTCCTAAAAGATTAAATTAGAAATACCAGAACACTCCATTAACTAATTTCTATTTCCCTTAGAAGGAAGATGCAAGCACTGAATACCTTGACATTTTCTAATTTGCATAGTCTCAAAGATTGACCTGGTTGTTTAATAGTAAATCTGGTTAAGGATTATTTCCCACTGCACTGAGATTTTTGTATATACAGAAACATCCCCTTAATTTTGTTTTAGATTTAACGGTAGCACAGCTGGGCCAGGACACTTCTATTGACCAGAAAGCTCAATCGGTATAGTTTAACAATATGGAGTTCAGGGTTCAAATTTCTGTCTAGCCCCACTGACTTTTTACACTCGGAACACTTCTGTTGGTTGTACTTCGTTTACTTTGTCTCTATTATTTTAGATAAAAATTCCACAGGGTATGTGTTCTTTTCAGAATTGATTTATCAAAATTATAGTCAAGCTGGAAAAAACAGTTAGAATGTTTTTATAGTCACAGCGCTTAGCAGTGGTACGGGGATCCGTAAGTTTCTCCCCCTTTTCAGTAGAAGTGCCTACAGAAATAGATACCTACGTTGGTCGGTCGCACACCCTGCGCTGGGGTACCTTGCCCTCGTAGAACCGCTGGCCAGTCCCGAAAACCTCTTTTACCCGGCACATGTTGGGGCTGTAATGACAGAACAACTCATAAATTAGTACGATGTGGTACCACATCAAAACACAACATCCGACACCAAATTATGTAAGATTTCACAGTTACAAATAAATCAAAGATTTACAGCGAACAAATATATTCAAATATTATTGATTTTTTAATCAAACAGAAGCTTAACATCCATAAGATTTCTTTTTTACTTTAGAGACCTTCACCTTGGTGGCACTTGGAAAATCATCACTACATATGTATTTTAACCCGTTCACCCCTAAAGTCACATTTGAACCTTACCAAATAAAAGACTGTGAAAGTCCAATTTAGATATGTAGTGTTGAGTGAGTTAAATGACTTACAGTGAATCAAACTAAACTCATTAATAGGTGAATAGGCCAATAAGTGAATTTGTTGAAAAAAATCTGAGTCAAAGTTCAAAATTGGAACACACAACTAGGTACACCGTAAAATGGTTAAGCTTTATGAAGATAGGTAAAAACTGAGGTGGAAGATTGTTGAAAAAGATTAAATTGTCAAAACAAGGGAGAGGGGGAAGGGGGAGCAAAACTCAAAACTGTCGAATCACACTTCCGAATTAAAAAGCACAACTTTGTGCCATAAAAATAAATCAATTTTCAAGAAGATTTGCCAAAATCTGAATACGGTGATTTCTTGATAAAAAGTGATTATGGACGGAAGGAAAGACAGTGTCATACCCTTAAATGTCCCATCAATAAGATGGTTGTGTAATCACTACTACATTAAAGTACATGTAGAAGATTTACAAAGAAAACAAGGCCCCATATTTTTAAAACTAACAGGAAATGGGTCTAATAAAAGAGCTACATAGTATACAACAATAAATCTTTATTTTATAATAACTTGTTTTTTTGCTTAAATTCTCTACATCAGCACCTGCAACCTTTTCTTAAAACATGAATTTATTAAAAACACTGAAATATATTAGTTCATAATTTATTCAGGCAAAGATGAATGAAATTATTTATCAAACTCCTAAAGGGCTGCTTGCTACACTGAACCTTTTGAACATTTTTCGGGCGTATGAAATTTCATCCTCTTCCATACTGATTAATGAATAGTGGTTTTACGGGATATATTTTAAATACTTCTTTGTAAATATAAATCAAAATTTAATTGCAGCGTAAGTGTTTTGGTCTGCTTAATGTTCTGTAATAATTTATGTATACAGCAATTTTCAGTTTTCAAAATGTTAGCCCGCATAATCAGATACCTGTATATGTAAATTTCCACTCTGTCAATTTAAAAAAAAAAAGTTACTCCGACTCACACACCAGCTTTATTTACAGATTTGTACAAACAGATATCCGATTAACGGTTTCATTAAAGATTGTATGTCTATATACCGCTACAATGACACTGAAATATTAGAGACCATTTTTGAGGGTCTGGATTACACAGGTTTTAAGTTTATAAAGGTATTATTTTAGTAATGGACTATTTTATATAATTTTTTTCAACTTAATTCTAACTATGCCTCCAAATAGATATTTGATGCAAATGAAATGCTGTAATGTACTTTAACATCAATATGTTAACACCCACCTGAATGTATGTCAAAGTTTGTATGTACAATATGTATTGTTAAACCAGCTATCAAAGAGATCTCCCCACGTCTGGTAGACCCCGTCGTGGCCGAGTACCCGTCACCAAGTACATGTATCAACGCCACTGACGGGGACATTATAATCGTGTGACCTCCAGGATGACCTCGAGAATAATCTGATGGCCTCTGTAAGGGGTATGATCAAATACCTGCGGTACCTGTCACCGATAGCAACAACCAAATGGCATGATAGTCTACAGATTATTTTTTCTTTAATTCAAGTTTTCATAATCGTCACTTGAGGTCAGCGATGGCTAATTGGTGTTAGATTAAGGGCCACGACAAACAGGGAACCCGAGAGGCCTGTCGTATCAACCAAATCTATTTCAAAGGGAAACAGGTATATCCATAGAGGTAATTTGGAAAAATATATACCTTTGGACTGTAGGTGGTATCACTCATAGCACCATTAGCTAATAATGGCTGAAAAAAATCCCCTTAATAGAAAAACTTACAATGTAGCAAATATGAAAAAAATAATTCAATTTTAGATTTGCTTTCTTTTCATTTTGTAAGAGGACACACACTAGGAAACTCTATCATGATCTGATATTACTATAGTTCAGACAGTGTTTTTGATTTTGTAAGATAAAGCTGATAACATAGTAATAAAGTCTCCAATTTGAAAAGATTATTTTTCCCCCTTTTTGACTAAAGATGAGATTTAGATAATTGAATATAGACAACAATATAAATGTCAGTTTTTTGTCTGCCCTATTAAAGAAACGAGTCGTATAAGGTATCAAAACCATATTCATGTATACCCACTTCCTGTCTGGAGCAGGGGATTATGGGATAGACACGATCAAGCGTAGGCAGATGACATGAGAGCATAAACTGGGGATGACATCGGACACTTGAATACAGACGAAACCCCAGTCTACCTCAAATGCCATTTTGTGAAAAGTCAACGAGCGCCTGTTGTTGTATAATGCTGCTGTTTTTGCACCTATCTCTTACGAATATCAGTCATATGCAATATCAGACTTCATGTGATAAAGCATATACACGCACAACATATTCTACCTTAATGAGGACAGTTATTGGCCCATAAAATATCGTCGCGAAATAATTTGGTTTTTAAAGCCATATCAGCTCCTCCGGCTACAAACTCTGTAAACCAGGTCAAAATTGTAAATGTGGATTACTTGTCCATATGCATGTGAAAGCAATTGGAATACCTTTTAGTCAGACAGAAATTTCTATGTTTTCATATTAAATATTTTATTTCATAGTATAGATACCAACACAGGACTTTTGTGGTATTTTGTGGACTAAAGCTGGAAAAAAAGACTAACCCTCTTTCAGTATCAAAAGGTGTTTATTCTTCTACAGACCAATAATGCCAAAAGTATAATTGAGGAATCTAAATCTGATCCTTTTCTTTCTTTTTTTTTTCTCTCTCATTATTTCAAATGTTGTAGAACTTGTAAAGTCTTTCCTTTTATAAAGCTTCTGTAACAAAAATACAGGTTTGAAATTCTGCTTTTCCAGAAGGAAAATTGAAATATCTAAATCTTAAATGAGGCACGCACAGTGTATTTTGACCTTTAAAGGTCAGTGTCGCGCACCTTGTAGAGTGACAAGTGCTATGTAACCGGACACCGGAGGGCTTAAATGGAAGAGAGTTGAAATATCTAAATCTTAAATGAATTAAGATTTCATATGAGGTTTTAGGATTTTAGGAAGTCTGAATATTTCAATTTAGTCAGATTCTGCCAAGCTAAAAAAGCAAGAGGCCCAGAGGGCCTGTATCACTCACCTGGATATTTAAGCCATCATTGGAAAATGTTCTCAATAAAAGTAATTTTGCAAATATATTTCCATATCACTGAGGCTCCTTGGCTTATTCAGAAGTTGTTTAAAGATTTTAACATATCTGACACTTGTGACCTTGAAAGTAGGTCAAGATTGTTTATTTGAGGAAAATGTATAGCACTCTGTCCCAGGTACTTACTGGCCCAATAGTATGGCATTAGGTCATCCAGGTCTTAAGAAGTCGTTCCAAGAAAAAGTTGAAGGACAATGAATTAAACACCATACCATAATCTCACTGGCACAGCTAAACACTAAAACTATCGGACTAGCTTCATAACCTACTATTAAAGGATACATCTGGCTATTTATTCTGATGTCAATGAATTTTATAAATAATAGAAAAAAGATAATGACTTGGGATCCATGCAGTGCCCATATTGGATGATATTGTCGTAATCACTTATGAGACCTATATATAGATATATAAATAAACAAACAAATCCAATCTACTTTATATCAATAACACAGACACTATTCTATTATATGATTCCATCTGTAAGTTCATATGAGGAATATCAAAATGTGCATGCGGTTCCTTACCTGCTGTGTAATGTAATCATCACACCTTCCCAGCCACCTAGTCATACACTACAGAATGTACTAAACTCAAGTTTCTTACGTCCTGGCATCACCTTTATACTCTTTCATTTTAAACCTGTGTCTGAACATCCTGGATGTTTAACTGAACTAGAACACTGACAGATCAGCAAGGGCCCCACCAATACGCCTGACCGCCTGACCGTACACTCCACATGGTCTACATGTAACAGTAACAGTAACAGTAACCTTGACTTTATTTTTTTAAAATTAACCTCTACTGTACATAGACTTTTCACTGTTTATCAACGTGCCAAATTTCAAAAAGTCTTTCGGATTTCGAGATAAACTCTTGAAAACAAAAGTGTAGACAGACGGACACCATTATTACTTTAGGGCTCCTGTATCTCCAATACGGGGGGCCTTAATTAAGTTAAAACTGTGATTCAATTTGTGTAGTTGTTGGACTTCCAGCTTGGATTCTACTGAAAACATGGGAATTGTCGGTAGTGCTGACCCATACTGTTCTTACCGAGGAGTTATCTGCCCCTGCCAGTGGCAAACAATAGCATTATCATGGGTAGGAACTACAATTGGCAGCAGGTAAAGAACTAAAGCATGAACACTGGACTTCCATTTTATTTAACTATTTCATTCAGTATGCACACATTCATAAATCAGTACCCCCGAAAGAAAACCATACATGTTGTCAGTGATCTGCAATAATCCCGCAATTAATACAACAGCATCCCGACTGGTTTTCGAACCCACAACCATGAACTCAAACCGAATATATATATCATGCATTCTTACTGTGTCGTCCAAAATTCACTGAAATCAGATAAGTAGTTTAAGACACCTGGGGCCGAGCTGGTTCAACTAAGCTTCAGCAGCTGATTCATTGATTTACTACCATAGTAACTTAAAGTTTTTAAATTGAGATTTTTTGTTCTTATGCAATTTCTTCAAACTGTACAAATCCTTTCTAGGCCCTGTTTTCAAACGACCATTTTGAATCTTATAATACACATAATATTAAATACCTTATGTATATGTAATTCTAGTTAGGATCTTTTTTTAAAGAATGAAATTTCTCCTTGAGGGATTTTCTTTAAAATGACAATAAGCTATTCAGGCTTATAGAAGTGACCATAATTTATGCAACAGTTTATAAAACTTGAGTCTCTGCAAGATCTAATTTTTTCTCCTTCAGTAGTTTTGTTACAAGTATTTAATGGACTCAAGCATGAAAAGAATATAATGTATACCAGGATTTTTTTTACTATAGTTTAACTTTCGCCTTTTACATTCTCTGCAATGAGGGGGAATCTATCATAACGGTAAATATTAGTACACAGTAGAACCCATATACTATTTTCATGTAAAGGGCAAAAGAGCCTGTTTCCAGTAATGTTAATTCTCCATAGGAGCCTGCCCCCGTATAATTTCTTATCTAGCTCAACTACTGTTTTTTTCTTTTCCGAAGAATAATTTTACACCTTTCCGACACCCAGATTTCATAATTTCAGTGAAAATGTATTTTTATAAAGTTGTCAATTTCAGCATCAAAGACATAAGTTCGTAAATAAAAGAAGGTTATCTCGAAATTGTAATTCGCAACATAGTATAAATTTCTTTTGATAAATATTTCCAAAACATCGTGTTTATTCATAAAACATAAAAAAAAAAATTTCTCGGATGAAAATGCACTTGCAGAGACACAATTATGAAGAAAAATGCCATAAAATTGCAATTTTCTCCCGTTATATAGTTTTGGATGCAAATTTCCATCAGAAAATCGGATAGAGCTTTACTTGTTTCATATGTGTACCAAAAATCAGCTAATTCCATGTGGTGGAACGTTCTCATATCGCCGCCTGAATGTGGTTGTAAATTGAAAGAAAAGGGGAAATGAGTAACAACCTTGTCTGAAACCCTATTATATAGCTTATTATATACAAACTTTTATATTGAATATCAGAGCGGATATTTTCATGACAGTTTTATGATGTGTAACGACTAAATAAACAGTATCGATATAAAGATTTACACTGAGGACACCCTGATACATGAATACTGTTCTATCTCAAGTTGTCCTCTTCTGAATTTTCTGATCGTGTGGCCTTGTACATTTATCCGTATCTTCTTGTCTTTGTCTATACGTTTACGGAATCATTGACTCGACGCTAGCTATTCTTGTCTCACTTTCCTTGTTTTATTGTCCCATCTCCAAAGCGTTGTGGCTCTGTCAGGGTTGGGACCCTGACTTGTCTCACTTTCTTTGTGCCTGCCGACCACGCCACATCGAATAGATAGATTATCCATATGAAATACTTTATTTTGTTCTAAGTAATCAATCAATTCTGCGCTTCTTGGAGGTATTGAATGTGATTTATTATATTGTCTTGTTATTTTGTGTAATTAGTTGTTCGTTATTTATCACACATTTTCGCATAATTGTACCAAACTACTAAGTATTAGCTGTTTACAGCAATCATCGGTGGCTTGCTATTTTGTTACTTTATCGACGCTTCATAAACCAATCGTTATTGTTTCAAGATGGAGGGTAAATGTGTTGGAGAAGGGTGTCAAGTATACTTCAAGAAACGTAGTGGCAATAAGAACAGAAGTGCACGCAATGTAAATAGTCCACAATATAAATGGCTCCTAGATACGCTGGTGCAACAAGGATTGATGTCAGCAAAGGAACAAGCACTTATTTGCCAGAAGTGCTACATGAAGTATCTTCGGAACAAAAATCAGCCTGAACCTGAACCCGAGCAGAACCAGGAAATAGAGGAAGAAGACGACTCCCCGTCCCATATCCTGCCGTTGCTGACCCTTCATGATCTTTTGAATGGATCATCTTCACACAAAAAATGCTGTCTCTGTCTTGTTACCTTTGCAAGAAATGGAACAAAATCATCAGTCTTACCAAAACGTGCAAGACATCACCTGATCTATTCACACAAACTGTGGTGTCCCACCTCATCCCGCGTCTGCTCCATTCACCTTATTGGTAACGACTTAGATCCGTCTACAGAGGTTGTCCTTGATGGTAGAGGTTCCTTGGAATCTCAGTTACCATCAAAATCGTCCGAAATCATTAATGACCTCCTAGAGGTGTCGCACGTCCTTTCACAGAACCAGTCTGCGTTTACAATAAGCTTTTCTTCTCTTGATGACTCGGCATGCATGGCCTGGACAGGTTGGTCCAAAGATCAGTTCCTCGAAATCCACTCGCACTGTTCCCCATATCTTTCATCTGGTATATATACCAAGACTACACACGATGCTCTATTACTGTTCTGGGTAAAACTGAAAACCGACATTTCCTGGAGTCAGTGTTCTTCTCTTTTTGGAATTTCCAAGTCAAGTGTGTCCAAAACTTTCCACTCCATAGTACAGGCATTAGACACATCGATAGTCCCACAATTTCTAGGTCCGGATCACTTGACAAGAGAACAGTTGCTCGGGCACAATACTGTCTTTTCAGAAGCATTTTTTGGAGATAAAGCCACTGCCATATTAGATGGCACCTATATTTATATCCAGAAAAGCTCCGACCACAAGCTCCAGAGAATGTCCTACTGTGGCCAGAAGAAGAGAAACTATCTCAAATTCATGAGCATCGCCTTACCAGATGGCTACATTCTGGACACAGTAGGACCATTCACTGGCAGCGAAAATGATGCTACAATTACAAAAAAAGTCATGGACAAGCTAGTTACTTGGCTACAACCAGACGACAACGTTGTCGTTGACCGAGGTTTTAGAGATGTCCTACCAGTTCTCGAAGCCTCTGGCCTCAATGCTAGCATGCCGTCATACCTGAAACCCGGTCAAAGTCAACATTCTGACGTCCAAGCAAATCTTGACAGAACTATCACCAAATCGAGGTGGATTGTGGAATCCTATCATGGTCGTCTGAAACACTGGACGTTCTTCCGAACGCAATTGGTGTCTAACAGCTTTATCAATGTCATCGAGGCTTTGCTTCGAACCGTCACAGCCTGTCTGAATGGTATTAGAGGACCGATCTACCAGAGATCTCCAGAGAGAGATGCCAAAGATAGGCTAATGGCTGAACGTATGAAGGACCGTTTGACAACACCGAATGGTTTAGCTCAGAGAGTCAAGACAGATCCGGATCTATCTAGACGGGCAAGGTCCGAGTTTGTCAAGATGGATGCATCTTCCGTACTGTTTCCCCGTCTCGATCTTGATTACTTGAGAACCATTACGTGTGGAACGTATCAGATATCTCTGGCTCCTGGTTACATCGCCGAACATTTAAGTGATGACGGAGACTATGAGGTGTGGCTTTACCAGCACTCCCCAGACCTTCTCCGATGTCAAATACATTCTCGACACAAAAGCCAAACGAAATATAACGTTTGGATACGGTTCACCGTTTCACCCGATGTTGAGGCCCCAATAAAGGACTACTACTGCCAGTGCCCAGTTGGAGAGAGAACGATGGGAATGTGTGCGCACATCTCCAGTATCTTGTACTACCTTGGGTATTACAGGACGCTGGAAAACCCTCGACCATTACAACCACAGGTAAAGAAATTCCGACAAAACTTGAAATAGTTTTCCATGCGGCAACGGAGTGCATATGTCGAAAGTATGTTTGGGGCTCGATATGAAAGATCCCCGTTACCATGTGACTAACCAAACTTATAAATATAGGTATTATACAATCGCCCGTAGCTATGAACACTCCCGTAAATGCGAAAACCAACCAAAATCATAAGGAACACGTTTTGTTTGTTGTTCTGTCTATTTGTCAGCCAATGTCTTCAACCACGGGGACTTGTGAAGTAGCCATCTTGGATTTTTTTTATGAAAAAGTGTTTCTCTCACTTTTTTTCATATCTGTGTACATATTCTCAACATACCGAGCAAATACTCTCGTTTTTTTGTTAATTATCTAAAGAAAGTCGAAAATCGGCAATTCAACCATAGGCTAATTCAACCCAACATTTGAAAATGTTCCACCACTTACATTTTGATGATTTTTCCTCTCATCAATAGCATATTACGTACTGTTTAATAGGATAAAAATTGGTTTGCATCCAACGCCCATAAAAGGGTGTATTCTCTAAAAAACACAGTTTTTGTGTCTAAAATGTTATCATCGAAAATGGCATTTTTGAGATTGTTTCTTCCATAAAACAGCCAAATGGCGCGATGGAAACATGATTTTTTGTCACAATCATGCCATGAATGTATTCTTTACGGTGACCATCATTTGATTAGATTTTCATTAATATTTTACATAACATGCACATTTTATCAACACTTAGACAGCTTCTGAAAGGTACAACTTTGAGGAGCCATAAAAAACAAACCAAGTGACCTAAATCTTTATACTTTATAGATTTGTGACCACAACGGCATGGGCAATGCACCACCAACAGGAAATTTGAATCAGAGAAGGGGCCGTTTTGGAAACCGGCCCTTTCAACTGGGTAGATATGGGTTTTACCAGTAAAAGACGAATATTTGACAGGGCAAAATTTCCTGGTTATGGTATATTTTTGTACTGTCCATCTCTGATATATGAAACCTTGAATGGTAGATGTTCTTTCATGAACAAAATGTTCAGTATTTCTCAGATATTATCATTCTAATCGTATTCTGGTTCTTGTTCCTGAATGATACAAATAAAAACACAAACAAATTAAAACACTTAATGCTTACTTGTGCATAAAACAGGCGAAACGCTTACTTAAGTTTCTAGCGGGTTTAAACAACTAGTGACCTTCAAGAGCATTGGAGTGCTTTAAAGTCAAAGATCTGTATCACCAAGGTTCTTGAAAACCAAAGTGACCATGCATCGTAAGCTAGAAGTGAGTTTGAGGTGGTCCTCCTTGGATTTTTTCAAGCTTCCTGAGCTCTCTTGCAAGTGACATTTAATTCATGAAACATAAGGAGCAATTTGATTCTATTTAATAAGACCTCAAATGTTTAATGAAATCAATCATCTGTTTAATCAGAGACGCCTATAGCGAGAATCATCAGAAGAAATCCACAAGTTATTGTCGAAACTTGTCCATATTATCTTCAAAGGTCAAGGAAAGTTTATATGAAATCAAAGACATGTTTTTTCATGAGCATTGCCACTACAGAGATATACAGTTTAGATAGAATTTGACCTCTTAGTGACATACATATAACATGAGGTGACCTTACGTGACCTCCGTGTAGAACGCAATAATGCTCAGGTGTCGGGGAGTTAGTACAGTGTCTATGGTTACCAATCTCAGTGAAATGAGAACCAGACTGAGCTCATGTTGTTACTACAAAGCACCGATCCCTCTTACCATTGACTTGAATAATGTTTTGACGGTACAGTAGCCTAACTGTAAAAAACCTAAGCATCATAATCCTGAAATATGTTTTTGTCAAATTTCAATATTTAATCTGTTGAAAAATGTCAACCATATCGATTTCAGTATTTTAAACATTACCTAGTTTTTTAATACAGCTAAACCTGTGTAATCTGACCCCTGAGTATTCCAATATCCTGTATATTTCAATAATGAAGGAACCACATTTCTTATGAAAACTACAAATAACTTTATATTTAGACATCTTGTTTAATGTGATTTGTCCCACAGGGTGTTGTTTTAGACAGGTTAATTTGACCAATATGTGGTGTCCCACAAGGTGTCAGATAAGACAGGCTTATTTGATCAATACATTTATGTTGTGTCCCAGAGTGTCATATTAGACAGGTTAATTTAATCAATATGATGTGTCCCACAGGGTGTCATATTAGACAGGTTTATTTAATGAATATGATGTGTCCCACAGGGTGTCGTATTAGACAGGTTAATTTAATCAATGTGTCCCACAGGGTGTCAAATTAGACAGGTTAATCTAATCAATATGATGTGTCCCACAGGGTGTCATATTAGACAGGTTAATTTAATCAATATGATGTGTCCCACAGGGTGTCGTATTAGACAGGTTAATTTAATCAATACGATGTGTCCCACAGGGTGTCGTATTAGACAAGTTGATCTGACAAATATGTTGTGTTCTGATTAGGTTCCACAAATTGTCAGGAGTATTCATGTGTGATATCTAGTGATGAAATTAACAGAAGAGAACATTGTGCTGTGACAGGTGATATTTGATTACACTGTGCTTTGTTCTTTGATAATGTTTACTAGATATCTACTCACCCTTTGGAGGTAGTACCAGGGTCGCGCTGGTAGTTCTTAAACCTGCGTGGACGGTACCCTCTCATCCTGGCCATGTACTTTTTACGGTAGGTTTGGTAGTAAGGGTTGAAGTAGTAGTAACTCTGGCCACAGGACACTTCTTCCTCCCATAGTAGAATGGTCAGGAGTAACACCAGCAGGTGAAACACTCTCATCCTGTAATAGAATCATACAGGTAAGTCATACAAGTGTAACACTCTCATCATGTAATGAAATCATACAGGTAAGTCATACAGGTGTAACACTCTCATCATGTAATGTTATCATACAGGTGAAACACTCTCAACCTGTAATGTAATCATACCGGTAAGTCATACAAGTGTATAACACTCTCAACCTGTAATAGAATCATACAGGTCAGTCATACAGGTGTAACACTCTCATCCTGTAATGTAATCATACAGATAAGTCATACAAGTGTATAACACTCTCAACCTGTAATAGAATCATACAGGTCAGTCATACAGGTGCAACACTCTCATCATGCAATGTAATCATACAGCTAATTCATACAAGTGTAACACTCTCATCCTGTAATGTAATCATACAGATAAGTCATACAGGTGTTACACTCTCATCCTGTAATTATATCATACAGGTGTAACACTTTCATCCTGTAATTATATCATACAGGTAAGTCATACAAGTGTAACACTCTTATCATGTTATGTAATAGCATACAGGTAAGTCATACAGGTATTACACTTTCATCATTTAATGTAATCATAAAGGTAAGCCATACAGGTTTAACACTAATCCTGTAAGTATATCATACATGTAAATCATACAGGTGTTACACTCTCATCCTGTAATTATATCATACAGGTAAGTCATACAAGTGTAACACTCTTATCATGTAATGTAATATCATACAGGTAAGTCATATAGGTATTACACTTTCATCATGTAATGTAATTATAAAGGTAAGTCATACAGGTGTAACAATCTCATCCTGTAATGTTATCATACAGGTCAGTCATACAGGTGTAACACTCTCATCCTGTAATGTTATCATAAAGGTAAGCCATACAGGTTTAACACTAATCCTGTAATTATATCATACATGTAAGTCATACAGGTATAACACTCTCATCCTGTAATTATACCATACAGGTAAGTCATACAGGTGTAACACTCTCAACCTGTAAGTATATCAAACAGGTAAGTCATACAGGTGTAACACTCTCATCTTGTAATTACATCATACAGGTGTAACACTCTCATCCTGTAATGTAATCATACAGGTCAGTCATACAAGTGGCACACTCTCATCATGCAATGTAATCATACAGGTAAGTCATACAGGTGTAACACTCTCAACCTGTAATGTAATCATACAGGTTAGTCATGGAGGTATAACACTCTCATCATGTTATGTAATCATACAGGTCAGTCATACAGGTATACCACTCTCATCCTGTAATTGTATCATACACGTAAGCCATACAGGTTTAACACTCTCATCTTGTAATTACATCATACAGGTGTAACACTCTCATCCTGTAATCATATCATACATGTAAGTCATACAGGTGTTAAACTTTCATCTTCTTATGTAATCATACAGGTCAGTCATACAGGTGTAGCACTCTCATCCTGTAATGTTATCATACAGGTAAGTCATACAAGTGTAACACTCTCATCTCGTAATTACATTATACAGGTGTGACACTTTCATCCTGTAATTATATCATACAGGTAAGTCATACAGGTATAACACTCTCATCCTATAATGGAATCATACAGGTAAGTCATACAGGTGTAACACTCTCATCCTGTCATTTCTGTATAATGTACCTGTATGCTTAACTTGTAATTACAGGTAATTTATAAATGTGTAATAACACAATCCTTTAATTTTATATAAGTCATACAGGTACCTGTACATCCTACATGTAAGTCATACAGGTGTTACATCCTCATCCTGTCCATACAGGTGTTACATCCTCATCCTGTCCATACAGGTGTTACATCCTCATCCTGTCCATACAGGTGTTACAAATTATTCTGTCATAACTGGCGCAACAGGTGTAACAATTTTCTTTAACACAAAAACTTTTTGTTTTACTTGTGTGCAAAAATATAATGTTGCTTCCTTAATTTCAAACTTCCTTGGCACAGTTTATATATCTCTGCCTAAAGATTTTGGCTGATGTTAAAATGTAAAGTGCTTGCCATATTTACCTGTTAACCCTAATAGGACCATTAATATCAATCACAGAATTCTCAAAGCCCACTTCACTAGTACTATAATGCTGCCTCCTTGTAGAGCAGAACAGATATAACACTTCCCCTTTAGAATTGTACAGCTACAAATGCCAAAACCTTTTGTTTGTAGATAATTCGGAGCAATCAAATGATGGCATTTGAAAAGCCATCAATTAAAATGGTGGAAAAGTTCTCCACCTTAAAATTTTGGATATTGAAACGAATGTTAACATCTGTAAGGATATTTCTGTTGAGGGGAGCGATAACATTACTGTCACCACGACAAACTGATAATGACCTTGTGTTATGACTATAGGGTTGTCCTGACGTTAACCCAATGCAGTTCATCACAGCTTCTAAATGTTGTGTTGCCAGGGCGTTTTACGACTGTATGGGGAAAGGCTCATAATGTAAATTGGGAAAAATCATTGACATTTTGTCTGTCAATTGGGAAAATTAATTGAGGTAACTGCTTGGTATTTCAGTGTATAAATGCAAACATGCAACACTCAGGTTTACCACTTGTTACTCTTTAATCATATTCAAAGAGCCATTTTCATGGCTTTCTTAAGATCATTTCATTCCAAAACATCCTCTTAAAGACTAAAATGATATCATTTATCAAAAATTATTTCATTTCAGATGCTAGATGTTGCATTGTCTTACTGAGAAATTAAAAAAGAAAATGAGGGAAATTTTGGAGAAAAAACCCATCAGGAATTTCGGCCCCCAAAGGCCCAAGAAAAAGCCCTGGTTGCCACTAATATTGTTCACTTCTGTCTGTGTTTTGTTAAGGGCTTTATATTCTCATCTTAATGTAATTATCACATCATTTTGACTTGAATTGGTAGGACTATAGACTAGGCAATATTAACCTTGATTATCTTTTAATAAGTCATACCACTAGAGGAAAAAGTTCATTAATTAATTATAATATATAAAACTTCAATATTATAGTTAAGAAGCTTTGAGTATACAAGGTTTCACTGAAATGCTACTCTTTTGCAGGTTAACTTCCCAGCATACTGATACCAATTCATGTACCTGGGTAGACAAAAGCAGTAATATGAATATTCTACAAAGAGCCATGCTGCCTATCACTAAAATCTCCATTTATAGACTAGTTTATGACAGAGCAGGCTATTGTTTCTGTTATGTGTTGAACTGATCTTTGACAAAGTTTTGAAAATTTATGTCTGCCTCGTCGAAAAAGGATGTTGAAAAGTTGAGTTTTTTTGTCAGGAAGTATAAAACAATCTCAAAAAGTTTGAATTCTAACTTTCTATGTTATAAATCAAGCTACTTTATATTTAGATTTCATTTTATTCCATATTTACTAAAAACAATTTTGCATCTCCATCGGTAAAAACTTTCCTTTGACAATCTTTTATTTAGTGACATTAACCTTTGGTCTTCATGCAGCCTCTACATCTTAATTGGTTTTTCCTTTTGTATTGATTAATATAAGATATGTAAAAAGATTGGAGATGATCAATTCATAATTCTGCGTTTCAAAAATTTCGACAATTTACATGTATTAACAAAGTGAAAAATTTCAAAAACTTGAACCAAGTGAACCACATGACTGGTGACCTTGACCTTTTGACCCCTAATACTCGCCTGCCTATTCCTAAAGTCTGGGTTAAATATCTGTTTAAAAAGCAGGTTGGATAATGTTTCCTTGATGAATTTTAGAGATTGAGGAAAAAAAAATTCAAATGTTTCACTTTGTTAAAGATGCATGGACAGATGAAACAAATATTTTATGCCAGGGTACCATGACGCAGGAATTGATCGTATTACATCAGAATTGATTTAAGTTTTGATGTCGTACCTGCTTCTAACAGAACTAATTCAATTCTTACCTTATCTCTAACCCCGATAAACTATCAGATCATGGTACATCAAGTTTATCAGGGATTTCACTCCTGTACAAGTAATGAAGCGGTCTGCCTTAAAATATCAAAACTAAATTATAAGCATGTTTAGCTTCACGAAAATTTGATATAAAAATTCTCATCACAGATTTATCAAAAGAATTCTTTTTACTTTAAACCACAAGTTTTGTGCTTAAAAATCATCATAGAAACAAAACGTTATTTGAATGTATATATACTTAATAATTCAAAAGCAAGTTTTAAAATATGAAGTAGTGGTTTACAGTATTAACCTAACAAAGCTAGAGTGATTGAATCTAGATATTAATTTCTATAAGCAGATAAGGATTTATTTGAAAGCATGTATATATTGCTTTAAATATGCTTGGTTTGACTAACTAAATTATTCAAATCAAATATCTTTAACATCTCAGAAAGTCCTTGATAACCTGCAAAATATGAAGTCTGAAGAATGGGGATTCCATCTTGTATTGCGTCCCTTAGCCTGTGGTCCCGGGCCTCAAATCTGACAGGTATAGCCAGATTTATATCTAATAGGTGATCACCTTATGACCAACAGTTACAGAACTTGTTTCTCATTACAAAAGTTGAAAAAGAAAATTATTAAAAAATACTCTTGAGGTACAACAAGCAAATAAAACTCACAATGATCATAAACTTTAGGGATTTTTTTCTCTCTGAACAGACTTCAATAATCACTAATAAAACAGTTTTTGTCTGACAGGTGGTTACCTTTTGACCAACAGTTGCAGATCTTGTTTCTCATATTTCAAAAATTGTTAAGAAAAAACAAACCACTTTTATTCTTTATAACCATCTAATATCTGTCACAATGATAAAGGTTTTTTTTTTTCATCTTTGAACAGTGTTGAAGGTTTGTTTCCTGAGCCATTATCTCTAATTCAACTGTTAATCAGATGATAACATAAACTAAACTACATATACATAGACAGAAATGTTGTTTATGTAAAAACATGATATTAACCATACCATGATATTAAGCAGTGTTATATTAAGTGGAATCTACTCTTACTGAAATCCTATTGATAATCTGGTTTAGCTAAATGATGAAATTCCCTTTAGAAAATTGAAATAAATTTTTTCTATTTACAACTGCTATAAATTCAGGTATCCTGATAAAAGTTCTTTAAATTACGTGATCTCAACAGTAACCCTTATTTTCTTCAAGGCTCACAAAGAGGCTGTCTGACAGTAGACTGCATGGTCCAGGTTTAGTACATTGCGGATGGCACAGACTCATGGCTTTTTCCATACATAGATATAAGATTTTTTCATGATTAAACTTTTAACTTACTTAACTCATTCACCCCTGAAGACACATTTGAACTCTTCCAATGCAAATGTTGGAATAGTTCAATCTGAAATTTCAGGGGTGAATGAGTTAATAATGCTTATCAGTGAGGTAGGCAACTACTCGAACATTCACAGACAACTGTACTGGGCTGCTTAATATTGATAACACCTGACTAGCAACACATCTTTATGTATCTTTAGTCTCCTTGACGGGTAAAAAATGGATAAAGAAATTTGTATGCATCATTAGGAACAGCTTCTTTGATGTTGACCGATTAATTACAGTATGTAACGCTTTCTCGTAGGATCTTCTAAGTTTTGTACTATGCAAGAACAGTGTAGAGATTATACAATTTACAGATAATCCCAAAAAAAATTGTTATACACATTTTTGCTTATCCAACAGTTTTAAAGTACAATTACAATAATTACTGCCTGTCTGTGAGATAAACCTTTTCATTAAATTGTTTCAGGTTAGGCACAGCTATAAGATATCCAGATAATATGTCAATTTTCTGTATAAAAAAAAAAAAAAAAAAAAAAAAAAAAAAAAAAAAAAAAAAAAAAAAAATCTTCGCTATCTTCAAAAAGATTCTCAAGTAAAACTTTGAGAAATTTCTTCCCTAGCTAACCTGAAAATGAAAGCGATAGGCAAACATCCCAAAGTTCTTGTCGTATATAAAAATATATATATTTAGATGAATCAACATTTTGCATATGAATTCACAATGGTATTGGTTTTGAAGTATTTGAAATCATCTTTTGCACAACTCAAAGGTCACTGTCAACATTACAGCAAAGCATTGATCATGCATTACAATAAGGTAATTTTCAAGGTCACTCCAATTAAATAGTCGTGTTTATTACAAAAAGCTCATTTTAAGTTCACAGCAAATAATATTGCACAAAGATCACTTAAAAGGTCAAAGTAGTAACTGTCTGTTCAAATAAAGGTCATTATCAAGGTCAACGCAAATTATTTGGAACATAGATCATTGTCAAGGTCTCAGCAGTGACTGTCTGTTCATTAAAGGTCATTTTCAAGGTCACAGTAGTAACTGTCTGTTCATTAAAGGTCATTTTCAAGGTCACAGTAGTAATTATTCCCCGACTCTCTATTCTGTTGCACTCTTACTGTTGCATGCGCGACAATCATGCGCAGACAATTTCCCCGTCGACGGCACCACTCAAGCGTCTTTTTGATACAGATTTGTTTGTTGTCGTCTGGTGAAAATGGCGAATAACGGCAGATTAGAGAATGTTTCCATACAGTCATTCATCCTAACTCGCATAATTCAGGACGTTACTTAAATAAACAAGAGGCCCATGGGCCTTAACGGTCACCTGATATATTTATACAGAGAGTTGATTTCATTTTTAACATGAATAGATGTTACCTAATACTGATAATGCTAACCCAAATTGAATTACTTCCAATGGAAATTAAACAAATGTTGGTCCAAAATGTGATTTCCCTATATAAACTATAGTAAAGTTTACCCCCTCCCCAGGGGAAAACGTGAGACCCAAGGGTCAAGAAATTCAGAATTTCGGTAAAGCACCTTAAGACCCTTCCATCTATGAAGAGTATTTGATTCTACCATATCTGGGTCTTGAAAAGAAGATTTTTGAAATTTTAGTCAATTCGACCCTTTTTGGCCCCGCCCCTCAGGCCCCTGGGGGCGTTGGACTAAACCGGCAACCATTTTTGTTGACCTTTGTCCATGGAAGGTCCCTGCAAAATTTCATTGAAATTGGTTCAGGGGTTTTGGAGAGGAAGTCAAAAATGTAAATTGTTTACGGACGCACGACGGACG